CCACTCCTGCTGTCGAAGCTTGCACACCTGGTGACGCTGCCGCGTCCCAGGCCTCGGGAGCGGCGAACGGCAGAGCTCTTAGCGGGTACTCCGCTATTTGGTGCACAGGCGCGACACAGCGGAGATGTTGTCACTGCTTGGGCATACCTGGGAGCCGTCTTGCAGCTGCCTTACTGGTACCCGAACGACCAGGGTTGCTTCTGTGCAAGCATGAAGACCCCCAACCCCGATGACTCACTACGGGAATCTTAAAGCCGCACGAGGAGGCTTTGGGATGGGCCAGAGGGGCCCATGAACAGTGTGCTAACTCCACTCTTTTCGCCTTGAGCTCGAGCCACTGCCATGTGTGCAGCCTGCCAGGGCCCTACCTCTTCATGGCCAAAACGCTTCCCCGGATCGCAGCTGCGTGGGCCCGGCGTTTGTGCACGCCTATGGAGCCCACGGCCACAGCTGGAGCGTCTCCGCTCTTTGCCTACCCTCGCTGAGACACTCTGGGGGTGGCGAGGAGCTCCGCCCTGGTGGGCCGTAGTATCGGGTCTTGGCCTGATGGGGGCCCCGGGCTTCAGCGTTGTAGCCCCTGAGCACTTGACGAGTCCTCCCTTTCTGCCGCGCAACGCGGCCTCGCTTCTCGCCTCACATGCGCACATGGGCGCGCGGGAGAATTTGGGCCCTCCTGCCGGCAACGGAGTTGGAAAGGGTGGCGGCGGTGTCCGCCCCATCTCCCGCAGGGGAGCAAATGATAACCCTAGACGTCTCCGACCACGAGCTATAGCATCCCTTTTTTACCGAGCGGACAAGGGCTTCGACATGGCGCATGATGATGAGGACGAGCGTCAGGGTGGGGGCAGCCCCTTGACGTCCCCGGAGGTGCGCATTGAGTGCTCTGGTGCCAGTACATTTTGCGCTCCGGCTCGCAACGACGCTTGGCAGCTCATGTGTTCCACACAGTGCTACGGCCCTACGGGGTGCCTTGCAGAGACATGTTCCAAGTTGTCGTCGACGGCATCGGCGCGGCTCAGCGCCACGGGTCGCTATACCAGCCTCTTGCTTTCCCCGCAGCCGGTCATCCAGTTAGCACACGCTATGTTGGGTGTGAAGTTCATCGCGTCCAGTCCGGAAGCACGAACCATTGATGCGCAGCTTCAGAGAGCACGACGCAGCTCTCACTTGCAGGATCCACATTCCGCGTGTCTGGCGGCCCTGTGCATTGCCTTCTCAAGTATCGGCTCAGCGCGGCCTACCGTCCGTGGCTTCTCTGCAGGCAGCTACACGGCGGGCCTGGTGGGTGTGCTCCTTCGTAAATTATGGGGCGACAACCATTTCCCACCCGTGGGCTTGCCCGCCGCCTCCGGTGGAGTGGCGGTTGATGCTGCGCTGCCAGCAGCCGTGGACATTGGGGCCGTTGGCATGCCAGATTGGCTCTTCGCGGAACTCCTGCGGCTCCCGTGTCGGTTGCGCATCATCCATGCCAGCGAAGACTTTTTGTGCACTTGGGTGCCCACTGAGTTTGCGCGGGCCGCCATACGGGCCGCCCCAGGTATACGTGCAGGAGGGATGCATTGGTTGTTCAAGGTGCCGGAAGAGCTTTTTGGGCCTCAGTGTCACAACTACTCCCACTTGCTCCTGCGTGCTATCCCAACCCGGCCGGCCCAGGTGGATGTCACCGCCGCACGTGCCTTCCTCCCTTTGCGTAGCCTGGAGAAAGAACTGGAGTGGGCTTTCCACTCCCTTCACTTCTACCGTAGTCGGGGTCTTGTAGATAGTGAGGTTGGAAGGGTTATGGCTGCCCTCTTCCCCCACCGCGTCACTGAGGAGTCGCTCAAGCGGCTTGTCTCCGTGGACTCCCTGCCGCCGCGTCTCCTCGAGGCCGTCCGCACTGTCACGGCAGCCTCCCTGCCACATTGTGTTGCGGAGCTGCGCTCCTGGATCATCCAGGAAGTCAGGCTTAGATGCTATGAAGAGGAGAAGTCGGTCAACCTGCCATTGCCCGCTCCTGTGCAGACTTCCCTCGGCGAGCTGTCGCTCGAGCGTGTGGTGGATTTTCTGCACTTTCATGTTTACAGCCAGGGCGCTGCTCTTGAGGATACTGGGCAGGAGAACCGGCGGATGTCACACCAGGACACCACCCGACGCTTCACCCAGGCACTACCGGTTGTGCTGAAGGTGGAGGACTGTCTCAGCTTTGGCACATACGTGCTTGGCTTGTCGTGTCCCAATGGCTTTACACCATCGGAGAACACGATTTGTGTACTTGTTCACATCTGTTTTATAGTTTATGTGTGCGAACATTTTGGCTCACAGTATTAGTTGTGCTTGCTGGCGGTTTTTCGAATTAAAATCATGTTTCTTTGAACACATGTCCTACATTTTGTCAGGACTTACAACTTTCCAACGACTTTGGTTTCTTTCCAAACCCTCTCGGCCGTAGGGGGGGGAGCTTGCCCCACAAGTGGGCCTATGGAGATCGGTGCGGAGCCTGAAGTCGAACCGGCAGCCGCGAGTCCGATCTCTGAAGCCAGCTCTGTTGCGTCAGTTGCCTCCAGTGCGTCAAGTGCCATTTCGATAGAGAGTTTCTTTCAGTCAGCGCGTCCAGATTGCTTCTTTAGAGTTTGGGGTTTCTTGGAGCCCTCCGATAGGGTTCGGCTCTTGGGGGCAAGCTGGTTCCTTTGCACTTGGAATCGCAGAACATTGATCCGTGCGGCTGTCCTTTACGGGTGTCGTGAGGACGATTAAACATGAAACGGCCTTTAGATCCAGACGATAGGAGGCAGCCGTGTCCCGCCGATGCCAGCATTGCTTGCAAAGCCTCTCTGACTGTCAGCGCAAAACCCAAAGCTGCCCCTGCATCTCTTCCGCTTCAAGTGCCCCTTCCCAAACCGGGTAGGAAAGCTCCAGCTCTGCCATTGAAAGGTTTGGAAGCGGTGCCTGATCGGGCTTCATCTGTTCAGCCGGAGCCGATGCCGGCCGGGCACCCGTTGTCGGTGCCTTCAATGCAATGCGTGAATTTTGGCACTTCGGCGAGTTCGGATGCACTCTCGAGCTTAGCTCTTCCAACTCCGGGTTCCTCTAGGCTTAAGCCCTCTGTAATGCCTTCCGAACGCCCCAACAACCCAAAAATCAGTGAGAATGCCTCTCGCAGCAAAGTGGCACGTGCAGCTTTTATGGCATTATTTTCTGTTCTTGGCAACTTGAGCGCTCTGGGTGCATCTTTGCAAGAAAGCAGTCAGGACCACGTGGGTCGCATCCTTCAGATGTTTGTAGCAGCCACTGTCATACGGTACAGCTCAGCCTTCAGATCCCTTGCAGACACCATTTTGGATTTGGGATTTGCTTTGGAAACATTGACATCGGTCCAGCTTGCAGATGCTCTTGTCGTCTTAAGCTTAGCGCGCAGCAGTGACCCGGAGTCGGGAACACACTCAGCGACCGCAATCAAGGCCATCAGGTGGGTTAAACGTATTTTCGAAGTCGCATGCTTTGATGTCGCGTACTCACCCTTGATTGGCAGTTTCCTGAAATCCAAGATTCCCCGTGAACGTAAAGAGGCGGTGCCCTTGTCTCTTTATGTCGTCACACAGTTTGAGCGACGCTTGCTGATGCAAGAAGCTACGGATGCCGAGGTCCTCATCCTTGGGGGGTTTTTAATCTTGATTTGGGGTTCCATTAGGTTTATGGACGGACAAAGAGTTCACTGGCGATCACTGTCCTATGACGGCTCTACACTGAGGGGCTCGTGTTATCAAACAAAAACAACATCCCAAGGACAACCATTTGGGGTCATTTGCCAGGGACTGCTTAGTCATGGTTCCTTCACTTGGGTGCATAGATTTCTTCGGACTTTGGACAAGGTGGCGTGCATGCATTGCAGCCTTTACCCGGGCCATCCCTTGCCTTCGAGTCTCCTTTTATCAATTAAGATTGGAGCTACAGGGGTCCCTGTTTACCCTTTGCAAGCCATGGGATACGCGGCTGCACTTAGGCACCTTCGGTATGCAATTTCACTCCCGTGGAAAAAACATAAGATCCCCGTCCCTCACGAAGTCCAACTTAATTACACAGTGCACTCCCTGAAAACCACCCTCCTTTCCTGGATGGGTCAACGTCCTGAAGTTCAGCCAATCGAAAAGCAATGCCAGGGGCATCACAGGCTTAGCTCATCCCAGCTTTATTCGCGTGAAGACATTATTCCGGCGCTGCGAGGTCAGCAGAAGCTGAGATTCGCCATAATCGGCGGAGCCAGGTTCCTTACCCCGCTCCACAGAGGCTCTCAGCATCCGTTGGAGGAGCCACCAGTGCAGATTGAGTCGTTTAGCAAGGCAGCAGAAACCACTTCTTTCGAGCACTTTCCCCAGTTCGTTATGAAGGAAGGGTTGCATCTTCCTGAGTTCGAGAAAACGTCGGAGTTACCTAAGCCGGTTGACCCAGCACCCTTGTGGGATGTGCAATCATCCGATGAAGAATCATTGGACAGCAGCGGCGACGAGGCACCCAATCTCCCCGATTTAGGGGATCCTGAAGAATTGGTGCTCGCATCGTGCACAGGCGTGCACCATGCTATGGTTCCTTCCTCAGGAGCCTCTGCGACTACCTATCGTGGTAGGGGCCTGCGACCTGCTTGTGGCGTTCGCATGTATGCAGACAATATTAACTGGCGCGAGCAGTATTCTCCCGAGATCACATTGTGCAAAAGACGTGCATGCTGCATAATCCTCGGTCGTTGTGGGATCTCGGACTCGTGAGCAATCAAAGCAAAAAAGTGGTCAGGCTCACATTGCAAGGGTCATTCATGCAGTCTCAGCGTCATGTGCATGCACTCTGTCAGTCACACTTGTTCAGCCAGGCACCAGAGAAGTTCCTTTTCTTTTGGTCTTAGCAGCGGCTCAAATGATTGGGTTTTCTGGGGATCCTTCAGAAATTTCCAACCTTTCAGGCGGTTCTTTTTGGTAGCTTCTATAATCCACTTGCTGCAGGGTCGCTAGGGTCCACAATAGCCTTTTGCTATGGAACTGGCTGAGCTCTTGAAGTCCGAAGGCCTCTCTGACGAGCTTGCCGATCTGGCAGTGGCAAGTGGGTGGAAGTCATCCACTTTCAAGCATGCTGTCAGCAAATTGGCGGATTTAGATTCTGTGTTGGGCGAAATCTTTCCGGAGAAAGCTCTGACAGTTCTTCAGAAGGCCACTATTCGCTCGGTTTGGAGTAATCTGCAGGAGTCAGAACCCTCGGGTTCTACAGCCTCTGCATCGCCTCCTGTGCCAGAGCCTCGGGAAGGATCATGGGTGGAATCTTTTGCCCCAAAGATATCAGCATCTTCAATTTCTGAAATGAAACGGAAGTATCTGGTAAACTACCCGTCGGAGATCATCAACTACTCCACTCAGCCGTCAACCAGATTGCTGAGCTTAGCATCGCACCAGCAGAACAAGAAGGATTGGCGATGGATCCCCTGGAAATATCGAATGACGGAAGAGCGAGCTTCTGAGATAATGATGTCCCGGCCCAACAAGCAACCTCGGCTTGAGGCTATCGGGCTCTCGGGGATGTTATTGGACGAACCTCCGGCTCTGGAAATCCAAGATCATTCCATGGGGGTGAATGCTATTCAGAAGCTTATGAATGTGCATGACGTGGCATTGGCAATGGTGGGAACCGCCCATCTCGCCAGGCTGAAAGGATATACAACAAAATTCATTTCTCTTCTGACTCAGAAATTCGATGCTTCATCAGGACTTCGGCCACCATCAGTCTTAGAAGCACAACAGGCGGATTGCCGCTTGTGGCAGGGCATGATCACCCTGGTCACCGACAAAGGATGGACGATGGATGATGTCCTCTACGAGTTCACAGAGGTGCGGGGCGAGATGGCCAGCCTGCTTCAAGCTCGAGCGCGTCCTCCTCCCGTCCCCAAAGGCTGGGAAGGAAAGGGCAAAGCTGTCAAGGGCTTGGGTAAGATGCTCGTGGAGTCCTATGCCAAAGGCTACGCATCGCAGGCGTCTGTCAAAGGCAAAGGGAAGGACAAAGGCAAGAACAAGGAGGCTAAAGGCGGCTCCAATATCAATTTTGTGAAGTCGATCATGGTGGGGTCTGAGTCCAAGCCATTGTGCGTGAATTGGCAATTGAGCCGTTGCAATCGTGGAAACGCGTGCCCATTCGTGCACGCGTGTGCCTTCCCGAAATCCAATGGGCAAGCTTGTGGAAGCAAGGCGCATACGGCGCTGCAGCACGAGAGTACTCCCCACTGACTTAGCCCCAATCCCGTAGGCATGCCAGGGGTGATTTCTTCGGACCCTCGCCCCTCACTCGTATCACCACGATATTCTTCGGATCACATGTCAGTGTCTTCGCAGAACGAGACAGAGTCACTTAATTTGCATTCCCAGCCGCCAAAGAGACTTCGAATGCAGCAGTCAGGCCCTCAGGCAAGCGGCACAGCTTTCTTCTCAGGCCCGCAGGTGCAAGGCTCTTCGGGTTTCACTCTTGCGTCTGAAATCCCGAGTTTGGGATCGTCTGTACCTCCCAAGATGGGAGTTTCCCCAGGCACTCGAGAGGTGTCGGGATTCAGGTCCGCAGGCTCAGAGGCATCGAACTCCGGCGTGCAGCCGGACGGCGTTTTTGTCGCATCAGCGGGTGCACCATGCATTCATGATTTCGATTCTCTTGCAGCAGCACTGATCGCAGCAGTATGGCCGGAACGTGCGGCCCCAGACCGTGCAGCAGCCTCAACTGCTCGATCGGATTCAGGTTATTGGAATTTCGGAGTTCAGGTTAGCCATAGGAACACTTTATCTAGCGTCACAACAGCCTTGCCAGGACTCTGTAAAGACCTTAACCAATTTCTTCAGCAATGTTTTCCAGGTGAAACGTGGAACTCCTTGTGCGTCAGCAGGAACGTCTTAACAACCCCACACAGGGACTCGGCTAACTTGAAAAATTCCTTCAATCTTTCGGTGAGCGTTGGAAATTTTTCAGGAGGGCGTCTTTGGGTAGAGGACCCCGCGGGTTCCATCGAGCAATTCGTCCCTGCACTTGGCAAAACCCTCCTGGGGTCGTACATTTGCACTCGCCATGCCCCAAAAAATTCCCCTGTAATCTATGGCACTGCACAGAGCCATGGCTGGGGGATAGATGGGTTCTCACATGTTTTACCCTTCCTTCGGTTTCCCATTCAGGGCTCCCACAACTGGGTTTCCCCACTGTCACACATTCGGGTTTAGCCCCACCGAAACCCACACAGCCCGAACCCTCTGCCATGCAGGCGCATTCGACAGCAGTCACGCCTCCAGCATGCACCGAGCATCGACCATCTCCAATCGCAGGTTCCCCAATCAACTGGGGCAAAGCCTCGCCTTTCGGATTTACCAATCATAGCTTGAAGGTAGTCCCGGACCCCCCTAAGCAAATTCCTCGAGCCACCGCCATTCCCATTCCACAGCAGATGGGGTCAAGGATTTTCTTGGATATTTGTTCGGGTCTAGAAAAGCCTCTGTCGCTAGCGGTCGCTGCTCTTAGCTTGCCAGTGCTGTCCATTGACATTCTTTTGGACCCAACTATGGATATCTTGAACAACGACTTCTTTGAGCAACTTCTGTTTATCTGCGGTTCCGGTATAGTGGGGTATTGCGCCTCCTCACCTTGCTGTTCGGAGTATAGCCGTTTGAAACTTCGGGGTGATAAACCATACCCCATCCGTACACCGCAATTTCTTGAAGGGCTTCCAGACATCCCCGCAGAAGCCCAATCCCGCGTTCAGGAAAGTCACGAGATGCTCTCTCGAGCGTGTCAGTGCGCAAAAGTCGTGCACGCTGCAGGGGGCCACTCCCATGTGGAGCAACCTTCAGGAGCCATGTCGTGGGAAGAACCGTGTATGCAAAGCTGGCTTCATGCAGGTTCTGTCGTGCTCGTCCTGTGTGCTGCATGTGCTTTTGGGGCAAACTGGCAGAAGACATGGCTTTTTGCCAGTAGCTTCAAGACACTCGGTCTCATGGGCCAAACTTGCTCGCACGGGCGAGATGCTCACCCGGTGATGCAAGGTCGCTCTGTCTCAGGCGTCTTTCGGAGCAGATCCACAGCCAAATATCCGCAACCCTTGGCGGAAACCTTCGCATTGCACATCAGACCCCTACTCTCGGGTGATCCGGGCGATCACACCATAGCCTCAGCCTCAGCACTGATTCCGGTGAAGGATATTCAAGCAGAGAGCTGGGTTCTCCATGATGGGGCAGGGCGTCACTCTTGTGGTGACTGGAGCAGCCCGTTGTGTTCCGATAAGCTTAAACCGCTTCGCACATACCTGCTCAGTTGTGTCGCTCGCCTGCAAGGGGACAAGCGTCTTCTTGCAAAAGCAGAATGGCCCAGCCCTGAACCATTATTTACACAGTCTGAGGTTTCTGAAGTTAGGCAGGGTTTTCTTGCAAGCTTGGGGTTGCAAAATAATGAACAAATGTGGCACATTCGAGCACACCAGCCCTTGGCTCTCCACGTCTTGGAGAAACTTTCGAGCATATGCGGTGATCCAGACATCAGCTTGTTCCCAAGTTTACAGAACGGGGTCCCCACAGGTTACAACAACGACATCCCGCCTTCTCACTGCTTTTGGCCAAACCAAAAGTCTAACGTTGAAGATGTCCCGTTGTCGATCCACATGCAGAACTGGCGCTCGGCATCGGTCGAGCCCTCAGTCACGCAAGCGCTCCTGGATGAAGAAATCAATCAGGGTTTTTGCTACAAGTTCCAAGGGTCGTTAGCCGAAGCCAAGGCCAAGTGGCCAGCACTTGCAATAGGAAAGCTTTCAGTCGTTCGCGCTCCAGGGCGTGCAGAGCGATTGGTACTTGACAATTCAGTCTGCGGCACGAACGCAAATTGTGATGTCCCAGAGACTCAACACATGCCGTCTGCCAGAGATGTTGTCAACAGCTATCCACTTCGCGAATGTAACGCTCGGCAATCAGCCATATCCTTGGACGTAAAATCAGCCCACAAAAGGGTTTTCGTTACACCGGCCGAGCATGGTTTGCTAGGGTTCTCATGGGATGATGCTTTGTACTTCTACCGCGTTGCACCTTTTGGTGCAGTCTTCGCCCAGCACTGGTGGGGCAGACTTGGATCGTGCATCCTTCGCATTTTGCATGTGCTTATCTTCATCAGCCACACGGGTCACTTATTTGTGGACGATTACTTGTTCTCGCAACTGGCAGCGATCATGCCAATGACAGGGGCTATGATTTGCCTGTTCTTTCAGGTCATTGGCCTTCCATTATCTTGGCGTAAACTTCAACTGCATAGTCGGGTCCAGTGGATAGGTTGGGACTTTGATTATACAGCGGGGGTAGTCTTGTTGCAGGAGCAAAAACGTCTCAAGTTGTTGGGGATGGTTCAGGATCTTCAGCGAAAACCAAAACTTTCCAAAAAGGATCTTGAACGTTTCGTTGGCCTGGCCCTTTGGGCTTGCCACCTGTTCCCTTCCATGAAAGCACTCCTTCATACATTTTATCACGACCTGTTCAGTCCAGCGGCGACGAACTACTCGATATCGCCAGAGGTATGGCACCAACTTCGAAACCACCTTACAGAGGATCTCAAATTCAAATCCACCCCGCCAGGTACCGCCATTCCGCTTCACTCTACACTGCTATCGGTGCGGCACCAAAAACTGCAAGGCCTTTCAGATCTTGCCAGTGTTCGCATCACAGACATTCTGTTCGGTGATTGGAACATGACTTCAGAAGAAGGCTCGATACAAAATCACTTGATGTCTGGAGCCCTCAGGTCCATGGATGATCCCTTCCCCATGGAGCTCTGCTGCACCAACCCGGGTCGAACTCGGCGCATAGACTACGGTTTGAGCGATCCTTCGATCTTCCCCACTGAGGTGTGGCACCATGAAGGTTTATGTGATCATACCACTGTAGGCTACTGCCTCAACCTATCGATTAACTTTTCAGGTTTTGAGCTTCCCCCTCGGGCCAAAATCAGGGATCGATCTAAGGAGGATATACACGAATCCTTCAGCGAATGCTGGCCTCACCAAGCCTTCGAACAGGTCCTCGATGCAGGTAACACCAACGAAGCATGGAGGATACTGTCGTGGACCGCGGAGCAGTGCCTCTGTGATCTCGGTGCCAAGCCTGGCACTGTGCCCCGCTCAGATCCCTGTGAGCCGCGACCCAAGCAGCTCCCAAAATCTTGCATCACAGTCCACGGTCGCGAATCAAAGGGACTGCAGGGTTTAAGACACTTAAGTCACCGGTTGCAGGAGTTACGACGTGACCCCTCTAACAATAGCCTCCGCTTGAAAGTAAAATCATCCTTGCAAGGTGTTCGCTTGAGCGTGCCGGACCTCCCTTCGCTCCCAGAGGGTCATGAGGAAACGGCTTTGCCCAGCGTTAACGAACTGCTTGAGGCTTACGTGGCACAGGAACGCTCCGCTGCCATGGCTCAGTGGAGGCAGCGACTTCAGGTGCAGCCCAACAAGCAAATCGCTTGGGTTAAAGCCCGCGCCCAGCAGGCTTGTGATGCGGCCGCCGCGCCGCCGGAGGTCAGCAAAGCCATCTCGGCAATACATCCGACTTCCATCTTGCAGCAACACGGCAAGGCGTGGGCAGAACTGTGGACTGCGCCAGCAGGCTTAAACTTCACCACCCCTGCCATGCAAAACATCCTTGAAACAGTGCCAAAAAGGGCCCCTTTTTCAAATGAATTTCCTGGCGAATTTTCTTTTGAACCGGAGGAACTGATTGCAGTCGCAAAACAAATGAAAGGCAAAGCGGCGGGGCCAGACGCGTGGAAGTCTGATCATCTGCTTGAATTACCCATGCCCTGGTGGGTCCAGTTCACACGCCCTTGGAACTCCATCCTGCAGGGAGCCCAGACGCCGATGCAATGGCGCCGCGGCCTCGTGGCATTGTTACCCAAACGGGTAACGTCAACACGCCCGATCGGGCTTCTCCAGGTTGCTTGGCGCATCGGCGCAAAATGTCTTTGCAAACGTTTAAGAAAATGGATCCTCTCCTGGGTCAGCCCGAGTGCCTTCGGCGGGGCTCCGGGATTCTCAACCGCAGACGCACACCTTCGAATTGCTTCAGCCCTAAAAAGGCAAGTAAATTCTTTTGTCGTGCAAGATTTAAAAGGCTTTTTTGATCATCTTCAACTTAACGCCGTAATCCCGATCCTCAGACGGCTCGGTGCACCCAGCTGCTTGGAACACATCTTGAATAGCGTCTACTCGGGTGCCGAGCGGCTCTTC